CGGGGGCGCACGCGCCCCCCCGCCCTCGACTCCACAATCCCAAACCAAGCCGTCCGACCTATCAATCAACCCAACCCCGTATTCATTTGTCGTTACAAAGCGTCTGTCAGCCTACCGAACAAACTTCAAAGCGTAGTCTCGGCGAAAGACTACCAACAAGGAAAAAAAACAAGCCTCTCCGTAATCAAACGCAGTGCTGACCATCAACCACACAACGTCGCCTCAAGATAAGACGGTGCTGCGACAACCTCATAAATACCTAGTGCCAAAAAACCCAACAACTTTAGCGCGCCTTCTCCGCCATCTTTCCGCGCTCCCCCCTCCGATCGAGGGCGTGAAGTGGGAATGGCATGCGAACATGACGAAATACGTCGTCTGACCTCCTTTCCGAGGCGCAACACCAGCAAACGTACAAATAAACGGCGCCGTTTGCTCCTTTGCTGAATCAATTTCTCTTCCGTCTCTCTCTCTCTGCCTCAAGCTGGATCCGCTTTTACATCGAAAAATTGTCGGTCGTTGAAAGCGACGACGATTCGCGGGCTGGCATTTGAATCAGCTAGAACAAAAGAAAAAATAGGACACGAAATAATGAATTTCGTGAGCAGAGAAAATCAAAACACAACAACACGAAAACACAAAAACGCGCACCTGCATAGAGAGCAACACGAAACGGCTATGTAAAACGAGGGCGCAAGCGCCCCCTCTGAACAATATCGCGTGCAACTCGGGAAAAAGCAACAGGGCAACACAAGGTGCACCCTTTCGTTGCAGCAGCGTTCGCCAGAATGACCCGCGCAGGCCGGGCGGCCAATAGGTGGCGCTCCCGGCCCCTCGAGACTTCCGGCAGTCTACACACGGCGCAACAAACAGCAGACAAACCCGAACTCGCCCCTCCGCATGAAACGAAGCGAAGCCTTTCAATCTAGCTGTGAGGGACAGGCAATAAAAGGCTCGCTCGTCTTCGTTGTTTCATTTCCCGCGTCCTCCCGCCTTCCTCGACCAACCGATGTCTGCTGCAAGAACCTCTCGTGCTACCCCCTCCCCCCTCCATCATCCACACTCTACCGCGCCCCAAAAAGAAAACCCCCACCTTGCTATACAAGGATTTTCTCCCCATACTGCAGCCTCTTGATAAAGAAGAGACTTGAGTATTTCGTTTGTGGGCAAAGCACCTAAGTTTTAAGCTGTAAATATAATTAATCCCTAAGTGTTGAATCCCCCCCCCCGCCAGGAAGGACGTGCTAGGTCTGCTTTAGATTATTTTTAGTGCCCTGCTCTTCTCGCTTTTTACAGTATCCAATGAACCAGTGGTCCTGCCGTGCTAACTGACGTGGTGGACTGAATGCATCAAAGAACAAACAAAAAAAATCGAAACAGCACCAACAAAAAAAACAAAAGGACGCTCGAGATTCGAACGTCGACTGCCATCACAAACCGGGGGAAAAAAGAAGATCGGGTGAAAAAAATGAAGCAAATCAACCAACAAGAAGCAGCAGCCACGTCAACGCCATGGTCATGACCTAGTAAAATATAGAAATATTGTAGTCTATACTCGTAATATTTCATTCCTTGACCACGAATAGTTGGGGATGATGACGGCGATCATGTTTTGACGGCGGCGACGTGGACGATGGACTAAAGGACGACACTGAAGGCGGGATTGACTGACACTTGTGACCGTAAGACGTCGACCACGACCTAGTTGTGGGGTGTTCGACGACCTCGTTTCTTGCCCGTTCTCTCTGCTGTTGCAACCTTTTCTTTCTCTTGATCTTTTCTTCGCCAAGATTTGTTTTCGTTGTCCATCCTCTTTTTCGTTTTCAAGAAAAACAAAAAATTATTTCCGGTCCAACCGCACCGTCAGGCGGCGCTCGTGCAGCATGGTGTTGTTCAGCTCGGCCACCGCGGTCTCCGTCTCGGAGGGGCTGGAGTACTTCACAAGTCTGAAAAACGAAAAAAAACAGAACAACGAGTTGAACCAGGGGGCGACAAACGAAAGAGAGAGGGCGGCGGAGCGCTTAGGCAAAACCCTGGGCGCCGATGTTTGTTGCAGCGACGGCGACAACGTTGAATACCGGCAGCAGCAGCAGCAGCAGCAGCAGCAATCCGTTCGTTGATGGTGGTTTCGTGAGGACAGTTTGAAAACCCACGAGCCTTCGTGAAGGGGCTCTGTACCCACCTTAAACACGAAGCAGTAAACATGAGCAGGCTTAACGCTGCCACTTCCTCCGCACACGCGACTGCCGCCGCTCCAACTACAATAGCAGCGGTCACAGACTGAGGACACGCGTTTCCTCCCCCCCTTTCACCGAGCAATAGCAGCCGAAATCAAAACCATTAGACTAGTCAGCGCTGACTAAATAGTCTAACGCTGACTAGCCTAATGGTTTAATTTTGGCTTCTATACAAGTTAGTTGTGGGTTCGAGACTTGTGGAACACGGCGGCACTAACGCTGCACGAACTGCGATGTTTCTCCCAAAACAACCGACAACGAAAGCCGACGACGAGAGCGTCAAGCAAGGACGCTGCTAGGGACAGCCAAGGACGCACGCACGACTCACACCGTCCCCTAGCGTCCTTCGCGTACCCCCCCCCTCACTCTTCGGCCGAAATGGCCAGTGCAACTACTAAAACACCATCTTTCGACACCAGCCTTCGCTTTGGCAGTGCCCAAACCCAACGCTCCCCTTTCGGGACGTGGGCGTCACACCTCCCGGGCGTGACACAAAATGGCAAGAAAGCTCGAAACGTTTTCTCTTGGATCCGTGTACACATCGTAAATGATTTGGTACATATAGCGTGCTTGCGTGTCCGCAAAAAAAAAAAAAAATGGAACTTGGAGCCAGCTCGGGCGGAAACTGCCAAAGAAACCCATGCAAAAGAGTCCAGCTACCGTACTGCTGGTCCGGTGATTTTCCTTGCGATCGTGGATTCCCGTTGAAGTGAACCTGAGTTCCTACACAACACCACATCAAGCAGAGGCACGCACGCTCCCAACTACGGTAAACTTGCTGCTGTGGGTGCCAGAGTTCGGACTTGTGTACGGTGTATCGCTGCGCCCGTCGCAAAGTGTAGACCAGAAAGGGCACGGCGATGACTCACCGGGGATCGACATGTATGCGCGTAGTGATGGAATACGCACTGAACGAACGAGCGGCGTTTCCGTTGTGGGGCCCATCACGATCTGGTCAGGTCACTACAAACCTGCGATCATGATTCTCACCCCGCCCGGAAGTGTCTCGCCCTTTTTGAATGCATGCTTCAAGAATAACTCTCAAGAACATAGGAGCGTTATTTCTCTCTCGGGAAAACACACAAGAATACCCCTTCACAAAGACGGAAGGGGCTTTGATCGACGAGGGAAAAACAAAACACAACCCAAGTAGTGACAGGTACCGTCAACGTTAGGGTGCGACCGAGTGACCGAGTGACTGATCTACTCACCCCCATCCCTTGGAGCGTCCCGACGGGGCGATTTGCACGTGCGCCGAAACCACGGCCCCCGCAGTCTGCACGCGTCCGCACAAGAATAAAAAATACGGGAGGAGAGAGAACACACGGGGTGGTGGATGGAGGTAAGCTGAGGCAAACAAGGGGAGCAAGCCGTTGGGTGGGAAGAAGCAGCAGATGTGCACGCGAGGCAAGGCGGTCCAAGCGTGCCTGCGATGAAAAAAAAAATGTAATTGTTCGGCCGTGCTCGCGTCGTAGTGAGGTTTGGCTCGTGCGTATTCTTGTAGCAAGACAACCGTCGCCAAATTTGTATTTCAGCCTGCGTACACATGTTCACAAGCGCTCTATTCGGATCCCTTACAGGTCAACCCGCGCGTTCGACTGCCTGCCACAGCTGGCTAATGGACTTCACACCAACGAAAAACGATAAGCATTCCACTGGACCACACAGCAGCAGTAGGGCCACACGGCTCGACGCCCAGGCTGCATCATCACAGCGGCAGGCACACATGTTGCCACCGCCGCCGCCGCCAGCCGCTAGATACTACTCCTGTTCATCATCCATCACCATCCCTTTCTTCTGCCGCCATTGCCGCTAACCTCGCGGTTCGATCAAATCGCCGAATGCCCGTACCTGGAACGTGGCAAGAAGGTCGTCGTCCGTAGTCCCCCACGCGAGGTTGCCCACGAACACGGTGCACGCGTCACCGCCGCCCCCCCCCCCCCCCCCCCCCCCCCCCCCCCCCCCCCCCCCC